ATACGTAAAACGTGTTATGCCTAGAGCTGCCGCCTTTAAAATATGGCAGACCACCCTGGGGCAGGCACAACAAGCAAAAAAAAATTCATCACATCTTAGTTGGCCGTAGATTAGACACCGTGCCTTTATTATATTATGCTACACGGCTAATACTAAATACTAAATGTAAGAAGTAGTATATTATAATAATATATTTAGTTTATAATTAATATATTATTGTACCTATACCCACTAATTTTACGACTCAGAGAATAATTCACTAGATCCGTAGCCCGTAGTCTTATGTGTAAGACGGCAGATTATTCGGGTGAAACATGTCGAATTGGACATTATTAGGTAAATTGAACGGCGGTACGGATTATGCGAAGATTGCTAGTGTAGGGTACGGTATTTTGGTCGAAACCAAAAGTAGAGGTGCCTATGATGTATTGTTGTATCGTAGTTCAGCTGTTTAAATTAATTTCGGTCGAACGCTGTCAGGACGCAGAGAAAAAAAAACGTCGACCGGAGGAGTACCTAAGGTTACGTCGATAGTGCGGGAAGGGTATCTATACGTATATATTGTGATGTCCCGTGAGGGATTTGAGCGTGTGTGTGTGTTTTTTTACGGCTGGTGAAACGTTTAAAATACTAAAAAATGCAAAAACAAATAAATAGATGTAATACGTTCAGTTACGTCGAGCTGGCGAGGAGAAGTATTATAATAATGATAATATATTATAGGTCATACATATATAACTACCGTGTAAAATATGTTATTCCACTGCTTCGCTGTTTTATGCACATAATAATATACGCCAAACACTAATGACGGTCACTCTGCGACAGCTGCAGCAGATGAAACTGCGCCCGACATTACATATTATTATTATTATTATTGCGAGTCGTCATTTTTGAAACACAATTCCCAAGGCGGATAAAAAAAAAATATAATGATTTACACGTTTGATTAGTGGAGGAAAAGTCACGGAATAGTCTGCAGTATAAGTATATACACGAAGAGAAAGACGACGACGGTTGAATTTTTCCGGTCGAGGGAAAAAAATTCAGTCTCTCTATAGAATTGACGGCTGCAATTAGCGTATCCTTTTCGTCCCTGCTGTTACAAATTTATAGTACCGTACCTACTTAGTCCCTTTCCGGTGTTCGCTCTCAATGGTGCTTTATAGTGGTGCAGTAGTATATTTAACGACGATACTAATTTAGAAGATTGGATTTTTTTTTTTGGACATTTCCAGTACAACACATTTATATATTATGATGTAATAAATAGGTCACTCAGACATCCTTCGTAAAACCATAAATAAACGAATGAAACACAAACGTCACAAGCTGCAATTTAACGACTTATAATAATAATTATCAACGTTGTTCATACGATTTTCTTAGATACACTAAAAATAGTTCAGCAGTTAGAATTATAACGATAATATATTGCTATTATTAAAAATATATAATAAAGTATCAAATAAATGTTTTAGTCAGAAAATAAAATATTGATCCAACTGGTAAATTTTGATTGTAAAGATCTACAGGAAAATACCATTAAAACTTAAAGTTGTTTCATATAGAAAATTTTAATTACATTCTAGGAAATATGAAAGTACACAAATTTTAACATATTTAAATAACAATTCAAATTAACTTACAAGTAAGTCCTAGGTATCTACGTCAGTAGAATATTTATAACACCTTGTTGCGTAATAACTGTCAAATTAAACTGATAAAACATAGAGAATAGATTCAGTAATAAACAAGAAACAACAATTTAAATATCCAACATAACAAGGAAGCCACTTAGACCATGTGATATAATTTTTATATTTTAAATATCACGTTTACAAAAAGAGTTATTCAAGTTTGCAACACATAAAAATAACATATTTAAAAACAAAGTTGTTCGTGTTAGTTATATCGAAAAAATAAATGTTTGTGGTGAACATAGTTCTGGACATAGGTCTTACTCATGAATAATGGTTTTTAAAAAACATTTTATGAACGTGTGGGTGTCTTCAAAGTTCAAAAGCGGTCTAAATGAATAATATTGTAATACCATAAATAAAAAAAAAAAACGTAGAATGCGTAGAAACATGTTTACTCAATTAAGATTATATGCTCATTATTTTTAAGTCAAAGTGTTTCACCATCAAACACGAAAGTGTGAAATATATAAAATGCAGGAAAATAATATATTGAGCATATGTCCTACATTTCCTAAACAACAAAATAATGAGGGTGGTTTGCCCTAATTGTTTATACGAAGGCTGCAGGGTTGCCTGCAGGTCGATTTTGATTTGTTTTTTTTTTTTCACGATCAATAATTAATTACCTACCTAATTAAAACAACGTTGGCGTTTCAACAAAAAAAAAAACACGGGTGTGTATACTATTTTAATAAATAAAAAATCATTATATTAGGTATAGCGTAGATACCTTTTTTAAGTTCCATGCGGAGCGATGAATATGTATTGATTTTACAAAGATGTGTGTTTTATTTTGCGTGTGTCTGTCATAACCCTCTTTATCAGTAAAAATATGCTTTAATTTTTAACTTTGAAAATGGTTTTTGGTAGAAAATTGGATCTAGTTGAAATTTTTTTAGGGGAAAGGGGGGGAATAAAACATTCCCAAACCCCAGTACTATATTAATAATTGGGAAAGATAAAAACAAAAAATTAAGGAAAAACTGGAATAGGTATTTACACAAAATCAGTTTTTGAAAAAATCGGCAGGTATTGTTTTTTAAAGTAATTGGACCGACATCGACGTTTCAAATAAACAAAAAAAAACTTGTGTGTAGAATATTTAATAGCTAAAGAAAAGTCACTATTATAAAAGATTTTTCTTCTCAAGTTCTCTCCATCGTGGAATCTTCGACGTCATTCGTCATATCACGGTACGTTAAAGTAAAATGAAAAAATAATTCTGTGAAATACGATGCATAGGTCGGTACGTGCGCAATCGACTCCGGAAATATTACACGTTTTCTTGAAGTTTTCAATTTATATACAACTTTAAACTATACATATTTTCACAATATTTCAACAGAAATTCCAGTTTAAATTAGCACGTCTTGTATTTTCACGTCCCACGAAGTTTAATAATATTATTAAGGTTTTTAAAAATATTTACTTCGAATAGAATTTTTCGGGAAATCGTGATGAGTGATGACCAACGGATAACATAAATAATATTTGATTTATATTTACTTCTCTCGTTTTAATTGAAATAGACCAAACATAATTATATCATATATAATTGATATCTCAGAGATGCTACTTATGTTGCTCCATATATGTATAATGTATATAAGTATATTCTGTATATTTGTTTCTATTCAATATTATCTGGTTCTTATCCGTCTGATTTACCTATTGTGCTATAATTATTAAAATTGATTTCAAATATAATAAAATAAATACGAATTATATATTATTTTAGATATTTTAATAAATTATGTAACTTGCAGGCGATATTTAAAATTATTTGTATTCGCCAAGTTTGTATACAATTGATTAATAATTAACTGTACAACTATAAACCAGGTAATGAACTTTTTTGACCAAACAATTTATTATAATTTTGAGTACTAATCTTTTATGTACACACGAGTACTGTGTACACGGTCAAAATTATATATAGGTACCGTTATTATTATACCTATAAATTATTTGTTGTTCTATTTTCGCCTTTCTCGTCTGTCAAACTCAAATAATGTCTTTCCAATCTCGTAGTTGTTAAAAATTGCAAAATAAATTAAAATTCAATACATTAAATTTATTAAGGGATGACCTTGTTATTTAAAATAATATATTATAAATGTCCGAAAACACTCACGTGAATTTTTGTTTATTGATCATGACGTTATCAAACACATTTCGTTATTCTTACTTCAGTTAAGTTTTCAATACTTAACACACATTTGTAGGTGCTTTTAGTATAATATTATAATAGTCCTCTGTCGGAAGGTTCGTTATATTGTATTAACTCGCCTAAACCTTTTGCGTTTCATCAAGTACAATAATTAATTTATTAATATTATAAAAATATATTCATAATATTTTGTAGGTATTATAATATTATGGCTTCGTATTTTCATGTTAATCTACTTTTGGTCTAACAAGATTTGCATACTTGATTGTTTTTTTCCGAATCAAAACTATGTATTATTATTTACTATAATTGTTACGCTTTTTAAAATATAAAAAAAACGCACACAAAACTACACGTCAATAGATAGGACGAATAGGGTTATATAATAAATACCATAGGTATATACAGAATATTCGTTAATTACTACAATCAATCGGACTCAATCAACTACTGAACTAAAGTTAATTATTTTTATTTGAGATAATAATTATAAACATATATATTTACGTGGCTCAAAAATACCTATCTAATATTATAATATTTATAAGCAATACGACGACATGCTGCAGCGTACCTATCGCTCGGGCGAAATTTTAGACTCGATAATAATACAATTTATATTATACAAAGTATCTAAATATAATATAATATCTTTTTTCTCAGTTATGAATACATTTGTAACCAAATTGTGACACATTTGCATAATGAATATTATACTTTAATAGTATTAAATTTTTATTATAGTATTTATTAAATGTTATGTTTTTATTTTTTTAATATCTAACAATCACAAATTGTTTTTATCTATATATCATGATATTTAAATGTAGTATATGATACTGGAGTTATGGTTGCTTATAATTGTTTTGAAATTTACATTATATAATAATCAAGTACAAGTAGGTACCTAATACCTATACGATGCAGAATATAATTAATAAATGTATAATATTATAATATTATATAGTACCTATTGACTATTGTAATATAATAATTCCAACCACTGTATATTTGGCCACCATGTTATATATAATATTATATTAGGTATAATATCACAAAGAGTTTTAAAATCTTAAGTGATTTATCGTCGTATCTATTTAAGCGGTCTGTGTAATATTTTTTATGTCCTAAGTGGGCCGGCGGTGATCGTTTGCACTGATTGTTTCTGTTCTAATTTCCACAGCTGCGTGATTTCGAGGTAACGACTGAACTCCATTGCTGACCGGCTGTACAGAAAAAAATAAAAACAATTACAATTCATTGTCCGTCTTGTAACAATTAATATTAATAAATTATAGTTTTTGACTGCACTTTAAATGGTTACGTTTTGGCTATCGTTGACTGTGACTGGCAATGTTTCGTCCGTGTAAAATTGATAGACAACGTATAATTTATATGCTTTTGCGACTAGGAAATTCAATAAAAAAAAAAGTAAAAAGTATTAACTGATGTTCTTCATGGTTAAATTATACTTCAGTCGATTAATATGAAAATGTATATTATCTATTTATCTCTTAAGTATACTTACAGCATCCAATCAACCCTGTTAAAAATATTGCACATTTTCCAATTCTCCAAGCAGCGAAAATGATAAACGCTACTGATGTGAGGAAATTAAGACTGTTGAGTATCATCCAAAAATTGATGTACATTAAGTTGTGCTGAAAAAAAAATATAATTTATTTATAGCATTTAATATACCTACATGATTTTTATCACCAATTAATCTAATATTATCAATTTAAAAGAAAATACAAAATCTATATTATTATAATTATATCATAACTGACCTAACCTGTGACTTTTCATGAAATCCAAATATTGGTTTAAATTACAAGTACACTATTGGAGTTGGATTATAAGTTTTTACTCAAAGTGAAGATACAACAGCTCTCGTTGATCAATACTATAATTTATAATACAGTGTTATGTAATTTGTTTTTTTTTTGTATGTAATTGAAACTCAATTAACACTTATTTATGTATAATATTATTCAGACTACATTCAGTAGGTCACCCTACGAATAATTTGATGTTCATTTAAATCGTGTAGCACAACAATGAGTAATAACATATTTTGAAGAAACTGTCACGTAACTACAGATTCAGATCGAATTATAATTATATATTAATGTATTTGTAATGTGATTTTACAATATATAAATCAATATAATTGGTCTTAGTTGATTATACATTGTTTTATTGTTTAATTTTAAAACGTTTGGCGTAAGTAATTAAAATATGAAGAAATATTTACACGATATTATTAATAATATAATAGGTTTATTATAACAAAACAGAACTGAAGTGACATGAACACAATTCATGTTTAAGTATCTATTATTTTGTCCAACAGTATATTATTGAAATTAATCAATCATATCAAAAACTAATTGAACATTTTCTCGTTATCGAAAATAATTTACTTGCACCGAAAACTAGTAGTTGTTCCTATGGTCTTGCTGCGTATAAATCATAGCTGCGGATATTGTACACTTATATTTTTAGTGACGTTTAGGTATGTACCTAACACCAAATTTCATTTTTATTCCGTCCTTGATATTATATAATATTTTATCGACGCCATTTCATATGTCATAACATTTTTCCAGGAATAGTTATTAATCAGGTTAAAGAAGAATTTTTATTTTATAAAACTCACATACCCCGACGAATAGAAACACATCGATTATTGTTAAAAAAAAATAACAATTCATTAAGTCTACTTGCTCTCTCTCTCTCTCTCTTACGTTTTATAAAAATCCGTGCCTACCAGCCTACGTAATGATAATTATTAATCTACGATTACTTTTTAGAAAACAATTAACAAGATACTAATATATTCTTGTCGACGGTTTTGATAACAATAATTGCACATTCATTTTCAAGCATTTATATAATAATATAATATGTACATATTGTTATTTATTTTACTGCTCTTATCGGTTGTATGATATACACAAATACTATCCTATAGTCTTATTTACTTAAAATTGTGATAGTGTAGGTGTGTCAAACAATGACGAAGCGTCACTCTCGAGACCAAAAAAAACTCCAAAGTAATCTCCGTGTGGTTTCTCGTTAGTAAACAACGGCATCGTTCAATAGCGATAAAACTTTAGGTTTAATATTATTTAATCATACCATTGCTTTCCCTACACCTAAAGCACATCCTTACATAGGCGTAAATGTGCAAGTTGACTACTGACTTGGTGGAATTCTAGGTCAAAATATCTCCAGTATAAAATTGAAAATATCTAATGTTAAAAATATCTCTAATGGAAATATCTCCCGTGAAAATATTTTAATATTTATTTTATACTAACCTTTTTTTGAACAGATATTATATGGAGTATATGGTACTCTATAGAAGCGTCAAAGGTGATTTTTAATAACTAAATTTAGTTTTTTAATTATCTAAAAACTTGAAATAATAGGTATACTCATAAATCATTATATAATAACTACATATTTCTTCTTGAGTGGTTGTATAGCATGAAGTAAATTTATATGTTTCGTACTCAGTAGGGGAGACTGGCTTAATATAACATACCATTTTGTAATTGGTATTATAGAGAATAGTATAAAGGTATTAGTTAGTAGCTGAAAATCTATATACTTGTACTAATACTATGCACATATTTCTGTACCTAATCAAATAATAAATGTATTATATTACAAAAAAATGAGTTCACTTTTTTAAAAATATATGAACTAGGTATGTATGTCATTTTACCCGGGTGCTTAGATAAAATTACATACACAACACACATGTTTGTATCATATGCAACCATATAGAATCCAAGGAATTTTGTCGGAGATATTTTGACCAGAGAATTGTTTGCGAAGATGTTTTGACCGGTAACCCTTGGTGATAGGGTAAAGCCCCCCAAATGTTTTACATGTATTATATCATTTACTTAACATTTATTTTTATGATTATTGTTTAGCTATTGAGTGTTGATACTTGATTGTTAATTACACCTAATGAGCCGTATTGAAATAGGTTGAGACCGTCAATGTTTAAAAATCATTTCAGCTCTCTGTACTTACATCGTAAATATTAAGAAACAATTTGTCAAAAATTATTGAATATTTATCTGTAAAGGTTATAGGACAGTGGACGACTCACAATAATTGTTTTGTGAGATTTTTAAAACATTTTAAATATTATAACATTAAACATAATCTTATAGAAATAATTAATACTGAATCATTATTTCGTTATATGAATATTAATTAATGTTCGCATAACTTTCTAATGAAATAATAATAGGTATCATATTATATATCTGTTACGATGAAATGAAATAGTGGTCACATATTGGCACAAATCGCGTAAAGGTGTATCACTGCATATGAAACAATAATATAATATAATGACTTGACAAACATTTTCCTGTTCCATAAAAAATGTTATCTAATTACTTCAATAATATAATTATAATATAAGTTATTGTTTATTAATTTTTAGTTTATCGTAGGTACTTATATTCTCGATTTTTCAAAAATACGATTAGACGAGAATTTATCAATGGTTATACGAGTTGGTGTATACAATTAATATTATTTTAATAAGATAATTACTGCCGTTCCACTAAATAATAAAGAAACTACTGGCGGGGCAACGAGTATATAGGTAGGTACCTAGGTATATTTTGTAAAACAGGTCCTTGGAGCAGACGTCGTTGCTTTGATGTGACAAGGAACGGTTGCGGTGTGAGTTTCCAGAAAGCTGACTTTCCGAGCGATTTAACAATACTGCAGTTTATCGTGATATATTATATTATATTATATTATATTATGCGGCGTGTTTCATAACTTCACACGGTCATACGCGTTTGATTTAAAACATAATAATGAGAAAAACACACACTTAAATATTATTAATATACGCCTGTAGAGGGATTTTTATTTTATAAAGTGGGTTTTTTATATATATTATAAAAAGTACCAATACGATTTTGGAGGAATATTGAAATATTAAAATATGTCGGTTCGACAATATCGTTTAAAGTATACTTCTTTTTTTTTTCATTCGGCTGTTTTTTTTATACGCGTAGCTTTTTATTGTTATTATTATTATCATCATATTTATTATGGTTCTTACAGGCCTACGTCGTTTCCGACAAATTAAAAATGGGTTTGATTGTTTATGTTCAGCGAGGTTATACTGAATTAAATAGTTTTCAACCGAACGATGTGTGATAAGTTTTAAAAACCATGTAACAGAAGGGTTGGCATTCTACGGGCTTCATAGTAATTTTATGTGACCCACTAGTAAATAAGTGTATGATTTTGCATGAACATCTCCAACTAAAATAGGAAACTGGTGGATTAAAACGTATAGTTTGATTGTAGCGGATACCTTGTTAAATTAATATGTAGTTATGAACTTAAATAAAATAAAATTTGATATAACTATGCAATTTTGTTTAAAATAAAATAAGGTATATTAAAATTATTGTGGTACCTATGTGTCCCATGAAAAATGTATAATTATATTTTGGACATTGAGATCAATAAGGTTTATAATATGGAAATCCATTTCATATAATATTATCTTCTACTTACCTAATAATAACGTTTTATTTTTACGGTTACAATATTAAATTATTATCTATATAATATAACAAATTTTTCAATTTTTTTTAGAAATACGTACACCTAAAATGCTTGTTTACTCACAGTGTACGTAGCTATTCTCAAATAGTAACTAGTGTATATAACCAGTAGTGAACCCGACAGTTGTGAAAATATCGAGATGTCGAAATCCAATTCGCTGTAATATTCTGTAAACGTAAAATATAATATTATTTGTGTGCTTGTAGTAGTAAGTATAACATAAATATACTTAGTAGATAGCAATCAATAATAATAATAATAATATAATACAAGCTTCTTGATCAAAACCTCCGAGCGGTAAATACTGTATATTATTATTGACGCCGCCGGTAATAAATTGTCTTTTAAAGACATTTTCACTCCCTGGCTCGATAAACATCGTTAAAAAACGAAGGGAGAAGTAAAAAATTTAATAACATATAGTCATTAAAATGTTTAAATTATATTCAATATAATATCAAGGGGATTGGTGGTGGTGAATATTTTAGGCAATATTTGAAGTTCATGCCTTGAGGTTGGGGTGAAGTAAATGATTATTAGTGTGTGTGTGTGTGTGTGTGTGTGTGTGTGTGTGTCCTTGTACTACACCGTGTCATTCGCACTCTCGTCTCCCACGTACAACTGTACAAGTCACCACAGCAGCCTCGTTCCCGTGAACGTTTCAGAACGGTGTTTTTTTTTTTGCCAAAAGTATGTATCTACTTCCTGGGAACTTTATTTCAATCCTACTGGATTCGTTACATTACGTAATATCTACTCGAGATCGATCATTTACACATTTTAAGATTTCTGATTTTAATTATCCAGAATAATCACCATGCAAAATTCATCACATCTTAAAAATATTCCAATCAAGTTTATAGGAGTTGTAGAACGAAATCGATAAAAGTGGAATGATCGATCTCAAGTATGAAGTAGGTACCTACACATAATAACGAATTCAAATCAGTTTTCAAAAATCTCATCACGTCTCTGTAGGTAAATCGGCAAAAAGATTGGTATGTTTTGGTTGAAATAACTGATCGCCACCAATCCCATATTCCCATTTATATTATAATATAATGCGTTACTCATCGCTGTCGACGTCACTGCAGTCTCGTTCGAAGCTGTCACATTCGTATTCGCAGTAGTCGGACTAGCATCCGTGTCCAACCAATGATTGAAATATTTAAACATCAACAGCGTGACAACGAACAATTGTGACCACTGTGGGACAAAAAAAAACCATATTAATAGATTTTTATTACGATTTAGTGTAACAGTTTTAATGTTTACAAAATAATGAATTTTTGTCAAAAATAACTGTCATGGAAAAGTACATTAAGGCCCCTGCAAACCCTATTAATTTTTCATCAAAACGACCTTAGCGACTGACAAAAATCAAAGTACTTCTGGCGGTTCTATTTAAAAAATGTAAAGATGTTTTAATTGGTCAACAAGTCTACTTTGCATCGGTCGGAGGGCATCTTTTATATTTTTGAATATATTCAATACTGAAAATTTATAAATTTATAAAATGTAAAATATTTATTCTCGTCAAGAATTTTCTAGAATTGAAAAAGTGCTCCGACCGATGCAAAGTAAACTTGTTTACCAACACAAACATCTTTACATTTTTTAAATCGAGCCACTAGAAGTACCTTAATTTTTGTCAGTGCAACGGCTATTTCACGTCCATACATTGGTTTTGAATATTTTGATCCAGACATTAAATGACTTGTGCATATTGTGCTTGCGTGCGATCATAAACCAGATAAGAAATATCAATGTATTGTAAATTGATCAGCGTCGCGGATGATGGTAGGGGAGTATATTATACACACTAATGATCATTTACTACACACACAAGACGATCAGTAATCGCAGGAACGAAATAATTGCCTAAACATAACTCCTTTAAAATGACACATTTGCAGGGGCCTTAAAGTAACACACAACACGAAATTATTCTCCAAATTATTATTTCTAGTTCAATTATAGTGGACAGACATAGCAAACATATCTATTTAAAAGCTGATGATTAAAAACTTATCAATTTTATTCAGGAGATGTTGAGAAATTTAAACAGGGTTTAACAGATTTTGTAGGTATGCCTGTGAAGTACCTATTTTAAAATTATATAATTGATTTTTTATTATTCTGTGAATTTTTATGCCCAAGACGACATCAATACTAGGAATTCCATACATTTATTTATTTTTTTTTTTTTGATACCTAAAATATTATAAGACTATAATATACGAACTCGTTTAAACTCGTGTTAAGTTAAAGCTTGTTTTTACAAAGTTGCTCTTAAGAGGATGTCAACGCACTATTTGTTTCCTCTCTCTAGCCCACGCGCAACATAGACAAAACGCATTTACTCAGAATAATTCATTTTTCTATGTTTTTAAGTAATCTTAGAGTAAAATCACCAATTACAAAAAAAGGTGAAGAATAATATTTTTGATTGAATGACATCGATTTGTCTAAATATTGTCTCAAAAGAATTTAAACATAATTTAAATTTACAATTTTTTTTTGTTTATTATGAAAGCCGAATACAAAGTCAAATAAAAATAAAATACAAAATCGATACGTCATTCTCTTAACATCTTATTTTCTATCTTTTTTGTTATGGGTGATTTTACTCTAAGATTACATACAAACATAGAAAAAATGATTTTCTATTAATTCGTTTTGGCTACGTTGCACGTGGGCCAGAAAGAGAAAACAATAATAGTGAGCTGAAATATCTAGTTGTTTAAGCATCAAAAAAAAAAAATATGTTGTTTTGAACGTCTGATTCCATTATCATCTTCAATACGAAAATAAACATAAGAGAGTATAATAATAAAAAACAAAGTTGATAACATAGTATTTTAAAATACCTAGGTAAATCGTAATGTGAAGTGGCAACTCTTACTCTGGTAAGATAGGGAATTACGGTGGGCCGTAAAATATGACGTAACTAACGTAGATTTTTTCAATTCCTCATAATTCGTGAGTTATAATAACTCATGACAAACTGAATAGTGTGAGAAGAAACGTAACACGTATAGTATTTTTCTTAGAATTGAATATACTTTACAAACTTAAAAGGCTAATTTTTGTGTGTCTGGCTCCTATAGAAAACACATCAAGTACACCAGGAACTACAGTGGAATCACGATAACTCAAACGTCTATTTGTCAAGTCGAATTTTTGATAACTCGAAGAAATGTCTCGACCCCATTTCGATATGCACGTACAATTTTTTCTATAATTCGAATTTTTTTTTCTCCCCGACCGATCCTAGTTATTGAGGTTCCTTCCAATGTATTATATTATGACTAGATAGAATCGATCAATCGGTTTCCGGTCGGTCGGTGATTAAATTATTTACTAATAAATACTATAGTTGTACTACATACGTAATGACTGGGAAAACAAAAATTATATCAATCTGCACGCAATGGTGGGCAAGTTAATGAAAATAATTAACTGTGGAAAGTTAAGTTAATTCAATTAAATTGCCTTCAGTTAAGTTAAAAGTTAACAAAAAAATAAAATTTAACTAGTTAAGTTAAAAGTTAAGATGGAAAATAAAATTAACTTAACTCAGTTAAAAAAAAGTTAATTTTTTTTTTAAGTCATAATATTAATAGGTATAGGCTGTTTTTAAATATTTGTCATTTAGTACCATTATAATAGTCTATTATTAAAATAAAATCAATGAATAATGATAATAGTATAATACCTACCAAAAATTGTTTCCATATTTATTTCGATAATGTTATTTTCTAATCGCATACGTTTATTTGTATTTATAACGAATACGGCAATATAAATTATAATTTATAAATATCTCGGACGACTTTTTGTTTTGTCTATTGGAATTGTCGTATTTACCAGTAACCAGTATATATTATTGATATAATGATATCCATTTAAAGACTATGATATTTAGTTTTAAACCTGTTTTTAGGAATTGGAGAGTTAGATAAAACAAAAATCGGATTATTCAATACCATTAAATAATATTAAATCATTAAATAATAGAATTCGTGAAAATAGCCAGTCGATACAAGGATAGTATACTAATTATTACTCTTTAGTCTTTACTATAGTACCTATAGATTATAATATAATTTGATTATTATGAATTGATGATATTATATTATTAGAAAAATAAATTACCAAAATGGCAAAATAGAAAGAATAAGTTTTGTCTCTTGGTTCCACATGATAAAAATTTAATTTAATTAACTTAACTGTACAATAATGATAATTAACTTTAAAAAGTTAAGTTTAAACAATACAAAATTTAACTGAATAAGTTAATAAGTTAAAAACAAAAAAAACTAACTAGTTAAGTTAAAAAGTTAAAAAAAAATTAACTTTTTAACTTAACTTTAACTTTTTAACAAGTTAATGCCCACCATTGTCTGCACGTCGTGACAGTAGGTACGTCATAATATCAATATATCATATTATAATACTCACGAATTGTAAATAAGCCACGACGCGTGTGCCCACGCGGACAGTCGTCAGTCCGAAGAAACACGGTGTTTCGGCCATCGCGGTGGTGGTAATCTCTTACTATAATTATTATTATTGTATGTGAACGATGTATTATAATACAATATTATCGCGGTGAAAGAGAGCAGAGACCTGCAGAGGAGATACTTTGGTCTTGCAGCCTGCAGGAGTGGTCTACACCAAAACGGTATACGTGTGGCTGTACGGTTAGAACAATATTATAATATTAATACAATACAATATAATATAATATAGTTATCTATTGTATACGCGGTTGTGAATGGTTTCAAACAGAAGAACAATTACTATTAATTCTAAACGATATTAATACTCATGTCGTGAGTGCGTGTGTAGGATCATAATATATGAATCGAGTGCGGGCGAACGACGGCTCGATCCGTTTCTGTTGTCGCGAATTTCAACACAATATTATATTATATATAAGTAGGTACACACTACACAATATACAGTGTGTACCCACTCGAATTTGAAACTAATAATGATGATACTTTGTAATTGCAAATACACTGCATACGTAATATTGTGTAATCCCAGGTATCGTAGTATAATATTATATATTGGTATAGATTAGGTATTTTATTTTATTAAGGCGGCTCTAAACGATTGGATTTTTCATGCATTTAGACCAATAAGCTGGCGAAAAATACACATACTTCTAGTAGTCCAATTTCAATTTTGAATACTTATTTGGATTCGTTAGCCTCTTTTCTATGATCTGTAGGAAAAACTTTTTCATCTTTTTGTCTAGTTAGGACTTAAAAGTGCAAGTTAAATTTGAGAAATCAAGCAGTCATTTGGAACCGTAATATACGTAAATTATCTAAAATATCCAAAATCGGTTTCCTACAAATCATAGAAAAGAGGCTGACGAATTCAAATAATTTTTCAAAATTGAAATTGGACTACTAGAAGTATGTGTATTTTTCGCCAGCTTATTAGCATTTTTCACTCTTGTGAGTGTACAAAAATATTTTTCGAGAGTGATTACGTTGACTTGTGCATGCGCGTACGTGTGCTATTGAACCGTGTGCCCGCAGCCGGGCGATATAAAATCTATTGTTATCGAGTTCGAATTTCTTCGAATTTCACACTAATAATCATTTACGACTAACACATAGATTACGGGCGGCGACGACAAGATTAGAAATTGCCTAAATTGTTCCCCTTAAATAATAGCCACTAAGAGCCGCCTTAATATTTGTTATATTGGTTAGGTTATTATGTTGTAAATTATGATATATATTAAGTTTATTGTAATGAATGAATTGTGGTTTGTAATAATTTTTGATTTGTTATTTTAACTTAATTGCATGCGTTTATGATATAAAATAGTAAAAAATTGCAATGTGCTATTATTTTGAAAAATAATTAATGTTACCCAAGTAGGTACATTTTTGTAATTTTGACGAAATCGTTTATTTTACGTCTTTCCGACTCGGGTGCTAATCAACTACCAATTGTAAAATTTTATAATTTATTGTACTATAAATTATAATAATTATATTTGGAGTCATTTAGACCCCCCAAAAAACGAAAACGTCCCTATTTTTTTGGAAGTCTGCCACCAGATAAAACTAATAATCAAAATACTCTATTTCAGTATTCCCGACATTATTATTGTTATATTATAGGAACCTTCATAGTATTATGTATTTTATTATATCTTCCTTAAATTAGTGAATATTATATATGTCTTGAATAACATAATATTATATATGAAAATCAAAATAATATGTTTTCTAAAATATTTATTTAAATTTCAGAAGAATAACACGTTGGTAAGTACTGCTACACTGATATAATAATATTATATACCCACATCCAGATCGAATTGTTCTAAGGCTTAAAAAATGTTATTGTTTATACTATTTGTGGTCTTGCGGGATACTTGACGGAAACTAATCAATTTAATTTTAAAATTTTACAAAAATCATCCAGTAACTCAACTACCTATTGTTATATATATTGCTGCAAAGTTTAGATCCTAACTCGATGTAACACAGTGCATAATATGACGTAATTACGTGAAATGAAAAATATTTACACCTATAATATAATATTATAGGCCAATTTTTTTTTGTCGAAAAACGGGTTACATTAGGTAACATAAATATGTTTATATCTCAGAAAATAGGTAACAAGAAAACGTCTTTATAAAATATTTAACAAAAATACTGTTTATCGTAACGAAAAATTTAAAATATATTGTGTCTTTCCTGATAACGCCTGATAACGTAAAAATCGTCTTCCACGGTAAAAGAATCACTCTGTATAATATAGATACCGACATAATATTTTATGTGTGTGTGCGCGTTGGAGTCGAACAATAATGATTACAATATTTACACATAATATAATATAATATAATATTATCGTAACAACATTACGACAGTAAATAAGGAATCATTATATTATATTATCTTGTTTTTTGCCGTCCGCTTTGGAATAGCCCAAAACCTACGAAGCGCACCTAATTTATATAATATGGGGAATAGTAAACTACTACAAAAGTAGGTTAGTAGGTAATCTCCTACATGAACTATATAGTATACACATATAATTGTTAACTCCTGCATGAGATAGCGTTAAATTGTTAACTCCTATATATGAGATGATGTTAACTAATTAACTAGGTACTAAACAAGATACTAGATAGCGTTAACTGCTAAACTTTTATTAAAAAGAAGTTTGAAGAAAAAATAACTTCTACAAGACAGTCTTATTATTTTTATAAAAATATCGATATTTTTTTTATTATAATATATTATTAATATATATTATTTTAACACCAAATCAGGTACCTATAAAAACAAAAGACAGCCAATTGGTCGGGCGATTGCTGAATCACTGATAAGGACATGATATACGTAAGCCTTTTATCTTTGCGGCCAGCGGGGAGGGGAAGAAATTGTCATTTAATGAATGTTTGAGATTCTTCGGCACAAGTACACAACTGAAGTATTAATTCCATTCACAGTGCATAAAAACTCTCAATATAAGTGTTTTGCAGTATATTTATTAAAACCACAACTTAAATTATTATATATTGTTTTATCATAATAATATTATACGAAATTTGTCAAATAAATATTTTTCAGATATCTTCAAAAGTATAAACGTCATGGAATGTGAGTTGTATTTTTTTCTATTAAAGACTGAGATTATTGAGATATTAGGGATAAGCATCGTACGAAAAATATTCTATTCGTATAATAATATGGTAATGATTTCTATCGTGGAACACTAGATGAGGTGCAATAATCCTGTGTCCGATCTTTAAACGACGGTCGAGAATGTAAGAAACGTTTACGTAAAACAGCATATAATTTTGACACCAATAATATGATTCTATGTATATATTATACTATACGTCATGCACTGCGGGCGAGTATTATTTTAAAATGTAATCGTATTATACAGCTTAACGACGATATAATATTATATTGTACAGATCGAAATCGTTTCGAATATGGAATTGTAATTGTTCTAATTTTTTTTTATAAGAATAAATAATATAATATACTAGCCATTATTAAGATTTATGCACTACGAGTGTATAATATTAGGTGATAATGGGGAATTAAAAACATAAAATATGGTAGTTACGTGAATAAGAAGCTTTCGCATTAGTGACACTTAGGTTGGGATTAAAAGGTTAAAGAAAATTAATTGAAAAGATCACGTACCACTTTCTTTTAAGCCTGTAGCGATAAGAATTTACAGGAAGCAAAAAGGGTATGGAAGTTATTTTACGAGTGGGTTGTGGTGGTTTTATGGTCTAGAAAAAAAAACCATTTGTAAAATAGTGCAACTTTATCCTCGATCGATTTTATACCAAGGTCTTTGTGAAGAGGCAAAGGGTGGAGCGTTTGTGATTTTGTGGAGTGCGATGTCTCGAAGCACATGAATTTTATTTAAGTTCGATTATTTTAGCTGACTTCCATAGCAGTTGTATCTCGTATGTCCATATTATATATATTGGTTTTAAGCGTTTAAAAGTTTAGTTTTGAGGCTAGTAAATTTGTTTTTTTGCCAGTGTTTTTTTAAGAGTACTAGAGCGAATGTCTAAAATTAATCACTGCGACTTAATAATATTGTTGTTCCAGATAACTGTCGAGGTTAGGCTCTAAGTACATTACTTTGTGGCCTGTATGGTAAATAATAATATGTTTAAAAAATAACGATGTGCTCTATTGGAAAATATTTGATGTTAGCCGAAGTACTTTTTATAATAGTCGACAGATTGGTTTTCTTGATATTTACTGTCTTAAAAAGCCATTATAACCCTGTTATTTTCCAGTCGAGTATCCTGTGAATATCCGTAAGCTACGAAAACGTACATTTTTTTTTTTTTTTTTTTTTGAAGAAATAAGATCATTTAAACATAAATATTCGAAAATATAATCTTTGTTAATATTTTCGAAACTATCAACGTATTATATGAACCCAAGTACCTATATTATTATGATATTATAATATTATAGTTCGTTCAAAAATGTTCTCAAATAGTGTTGTGTATAGGTAGGCACAATTAAAGTCAGAACAAACGATTTATAAATTATATTTTTAATTATTTGTTATGTAAAAAAATATTAAAAGCGCATAATGTCAAGCAATTTTGCTTATAAGAAAAAAAAAACCACGATGATTTGACAACTTTAAGACGTATTTGTTTTTAGCCTTTTAGACTTTAGCTGCCGATAGTGTACCGATATGTACTGTCGTCTGTTAGCTATGTGTAAACTAAATTTAAAATTTTTAAACTAAAATTAAAATAAATTAAATATTGCAAAAGAAAATAATACATTTTTGTATCGTTTAAACGACCAAAACGCATAGGCGTAGATGGTATGTAAATTGCGGTGCAGGTACAATGATATATTGTTTTCGCTATATATTACTGTTAAACGTAAAACGATCATCGTTAGTATTTTTTTCTTCGTTTTACTTAAGACCTGACAACAGCAAAGCTTTTAACAAGAAGTTTTTGCAAAAAACAATTTTTACTACAGACTTTTTTTTTACATTTTTCTATAATGGCAACCTTCATTTTTATTTCACATCCTCAACGGTTTTTTCTTGAATTGTTGTATACAAAACATCTGCAGATACATATTATAAAAGGTCTTCATAAAATAAAATAAATAAAATACAAAATAATATGAATTTAATATTATTTATACATGTGATAAGTATTAAGAATTGTTACAATTAAAACTTAAAAATACGCTTTACGGACACACAAGAATTCCGGCAAAAATATTACATACTAGAAAACGTTATTCAAAAACATATAACATTCATCGCAATGTAGTTTCTACGGAGTTGGGTTGTTCTATTACTTAAGTTAAAAGGAGTGCATACGAAGAAATAAAATAATATTAGCTATTGAAACAGTCAATCTTAATAGCAATAATATAATAATATTATAATTAATACCAATAACAATACTTTTTTCACACGGCGCTCAGTGTATGCAATTTTACTACAACACATAACGAGTTTCAATGCATTATATTTTATTCTCTGCTTATTATTATTTATACATTTTATTTTTAAGTATTTCACGATAAACTACCATGTACTTTTAAGAAAATCTAATAACGATTAGTTCTAACTTCTAAACTTAAAAATATCTTATTATGTGAGGGAAATGGCAGGTGCAGATATATTCAAACGGACGGGATTACGGTGGTATAATAGTTTCGGAACAAATCACAAATACAATTGACGGCAGTCCTTGTCAATTAATAACAGAAAAATGTTTACCTTATTTGTAGGTCATTTCACATTTTTTTTTTTTTTTGTCGAATCCTAGTCGGCTGAACTGTCCACACATAACCAGGATTGCCGAGAATTGTCCGATTCCTATGCGCTTGCCTAAACGTAGACAGGTGCTACAGTTTAAGATCGATGCGTACCCAGAATCACTGATGTTCTAGGAGACGATATTCCCTCCCTCACGGATACCAACGTGGACAGGGTCGGTACTTCGGTGAAACGGTGGTTACGAAGACACCTGACCCCTCTGATAAGGATGTGGTGGAGACGTCATCTATTTCCTAGGAAAACGACGTGACAACATCCGTATCCGTTGTCGAACAACTGTAACACAACCAACACCTTTTTCTGTCACCAAACTGGTGTAGATTTGGAGTCACAAGTGTTTAGAACTTTCAACGCTAAAACATTTTAAGGTGTTTCAGAACTATTGTTTTGCAATACCATAAAATATTCTACTTTATAAGTTTTAAAAATGGGTTTTACTATTTTTCATCGTGTTTACATTACTTATTGATCTATTTATATTCATCCACGCTAGTATGATAGATTAGTTAGGTAAAGTTAGGTAAGTAAGGATAATATGTACGCCTGTTATATATTATATTTTTATATTCAGTTTAGAATTGGTTTTTGCTTCAACCATTGTATTATTTTTTTGAAACATTTATTAAAATATTTAGTGATTCATTTACATATATTTTTTGATTGAACATTTGAAAACAACACAAAGTCTAGGTTCAGATTTATCTAATAAACATCTGAAAATAATTGTTTTAAAATATATAATTAGGTATACTCGTAAACAATAAGCATGTGTTTTAATAACATACGAAATACGAATCTATATAACAAAATTTGAATTTGAACTTTTTGAGTTTTTTCGTTTTAAGGTAAGTCTTAAATCATTTTTTACTTTTTTTTTTAAGAATTGAGAGAAATATTACTAGTTAGTTATTTGCCATTATATTTTATATTTTTAACCAATCGAAAAATATGAAAACTTCTTACCTACCTATTACTGAAAATACTTTAAAAAAATGTTTCATTGTTTTATAGATTAAAACCAGTTTTAAAATTGAAATTTAAATCAAAATCACGAACTTCTATAATATGAATTTTTAATTTTAAGATTGATAAAAAATTGTATTCACTTTAATAGTTTTATGAGCTTTGTTTAAGTATTTAGATCATTAACATAATAATAAACAGTTTATTATTTTTAGGTCATTTGTTGAGTTTTTATGCCATAAATGAATTTGTATAGGTTGATTAGGGCTTCAACATCCGGGCCCTAATAATGATTATTAATGGTCGTATAGCTATATTATCTTAATTCGTGGTTTTATATTATTATACCTATCCATATGATAACAATGAGGTTTAATTTCAGGTTTTATAGTCAGTATTTTAGTTTATATAAGTAAAAAAAAAAAACCAAGGAGCCACTAATGTTTATTAACAGGAAGAAGAGTTGTACTATTGAAGAACCGTGCTAATTTATGCTAAATCATTGTTCTACAGGGTAAACGACTGAACATGTAAGTTACAAATTAAATATTATGCAGAAGCGTACGGGGAATGGAACTGGCAAATAGTTATTGGTTATATGGCTTAAAAGTCACAATCAAAAATATTCAAGTATTTTTAAATCCGATTTTTCGTACCTATGAGACGAAAATATAGTAAAATATAATATTGTCCCCCCCCCCGATTCTCCGCTTATCCATCCCACTACTCTCGTAGTCTCGTTGCTGCGGTAATTAGTATTATAATATAAACAATATGAATATTAAAAAGTGGGTAAGTGGATGTTGCTCGGCTGTACAGTAGGTTACGAATCGGTCAATGTATAAAAAATTGTATTAAACTTGAATTCAATGATATAATATCATTGTATAAGAAAAAGGATTCTGAGCGGAGACGGTTTGTCAGTCTGGATATTTTATATTGTTATTAATTATTAAATCATGTAAGTTGAATTAATATTATAATATTATAATTTTTTATTCGTATCTATGGTGATAAACAAAGCGTTAGAAATTAAAATCCCATTTTTAGCGGTTTTTCGTAATTTGTCGGTGGTTTTTCCTGTGCGATTAAATAAATATTGAGAAAATCGAAAAACGACCTGTCTAAAGTACCATCTTGATCCGATTTTCTAAAATATAAGGTACTATATGTTGAAATGGAAGCACTCCTTCTGGTAGATATTTTTTATAAAGGATATAAAAATAATAAACACCATTGTAAAACCAATAGTTTCCTAGCTCCACTCAGAATCTAAAAAGAATAATAATAAATATAATATTACTTATACAAACGTGTATAATAAATAAATAAATAAAGGGTATAGCCTTGAGTATTATTAGGTTTATGTTTAACGACCGGTTTCGAATTTCAAAATTCATCTTCTGTAACTACTATAATACATATACGTACAAGTGTATTAACAAATTTATTACTTAATAATATTCTAATTTAAATCACGTTATTACTTATTTATAGTTATGTAACAATAACTTACAAATAATGAGGAATCAACAATATATTAGTGATAATCACACAAAAACACTTCGCCAAACTCCGTGTAAAAAAACGCTAAATAAAAATTATAATTTTTGACAGTGAAAATTAATAATTAAAAATACTGTGGATCTGATAAACCAACCCACCAGGGTACAATAGATATCGTTTATAAGATTTTTTTATTGAAATAATAGTATTTTTGCTAATCTGAATCTCTGAGGCAGCTTCATAATATACTGGTGATGAGTAAGTCAGAGAGGATTTAGCAGATATTTTGGAGGAAATTTTTAACTGAATTTATTATACCAGTATTATAATAATACTATGATATAGGAGGATATAAAATCTTTAGCCTTTGGTAATATTGCTGAAGTTTACCAATGATGTGGGGGTTCCGAGTATGGGTTTTTGAGACTGGAGACCACTGTACCAGTTAATATAATAATATCTATGGAGAGTGGGGATCATCCGGGATCGGAAGTCGTCAAAGCATGTAAACTAAAATATTATGATTTATGATGTATATATTGTATATTTTAATAATATTATGTTATATTATATTTACAACTTACAAGATACAATGATTACAGTATCATATTGTTATCAAATCATCGACGGTTAGAAATAAATCTATTAAATACTATATTTTTAAAACCATTTAGACATTGAAACTCTATTTTAATATTCATATATATATATTTAGTATGTCAACACAACCGTCTATTAGGTATATTATGTGGGGTTGTATTAATTTGCAGTGTAGAGCAGTGATTCGAAGGTGACTTTTTCTGACGATTCCACTTCAATTTCCGCGGTGTCGTAATTCTGAGGCAACAGATTATCTCCGTCGACAGACTGATGTAAAAAAAAAAAGTCAAAATATCGTTACTTTAGTATAACTTCACGTATCCAACGTAGATTCGGCCTACTTACTTTTTGTAAATTAGGTAACAGAGGTGGACCTTGTTCCAAAAAAATGTTCGACGATTTTTCATCTTTGTAAATCTGATGAACGATGTATATCTTGTAATTGGCAAATACTATAAACACGACAATGACAAGTGACGAGGTTACAATAAATAGATTTAGGAAAAAACTACAATATATTAGTTGCATGTTACGTCATAGACATGAAAAAACCTCCTATGTGACAAATTTACGATTTTGAGATTTTGGATTCAATGGATTCGGAAAAAAACCTATAATTTCATAATATCTAGTTTGTACTATCACAATCCTAAAAATATAATTCATATCTTTATCGTAGAAATAATGGAAAGTAATAAATAAAAGTTTTATTTATTACTTTTCATTATTATTTTAAAACCTTCTATTATATGTGTTATTTACTATAAATTATTTATGAAATACCTTCTGCGATGAAAAATATTTTTTAATATGAGATCAACAATTATTATTTAAATAACCTCCAATGTAAGCATAGTAAAAAAAAAAACTATTGTGAAACCTCCAATTTTTCATATCATTCAATATTTCCACAAATATTGAACTTTTACTTCAATTTTTTCAAATTAAAATTTTACATAGTTTTATCATTTGTTTTTGTAGATCATTGGCAATTTTTTTTTCTTGGAAACGACTGGTTTTATAGCATGGGAGGATTTTTTGTGTCAACGACGATAAGTTTCATATTATAATTGTTTTACTTGTAGTATTATTATAAGTCTTACTCAATATGGTTATCGATTTAATGCATATTACTACACTCCCGACTCTGGACAAAACGAATAGAAAACACATTATCGCCGACAAGAGGTAAATGTTGTTGACTATGATCCATATCCTGACGTCTTGTATGTTATTGTACTGAAAAAAAAATATACAAAAACAACATATGTGAAGTTATAGTTAAGTTATAGTTAAGTTCACAATATGTGAAGTTAATGTTGGGTATAAATAATTATTTATAAAAAATGTGAGAGAGTGTGTGAGCCCACCACTACACGTCTATACACTCTGTTGAAGTAAAACTTCTTTCATAAGTAATTGGGAAATTATAAGTGAATTATGGAGAGAGTGAAAATAATCAATACAATAAAAAAATATGTAATTTACGATGGACATTTTTGTTTATTAATGGTTGCTATGGACTTTATCAATAAATAAACAAACGTGTCGTTTCATCATTCCTGTCGTTTCATTTTTATATCTTTACGATTTTTTTTCCACCCACTCCTCAAGAAAGAATTTTTAATTCAAAAAAACACACACACATATAATATTATACACGCTCTTTTTAATCGAAATATTTTATGAATAATTGCGCTAGCTATCTGTAGAAAAACAAAATGCCGATTCGGTTAGTATTTTTGTGTGTGGTTTATCTCGAACTATATTTCGTTCGAAATTATATACCTAATATTAAAGATTAATATGCGATAGCAGAAATGTCATGTTTCTCACGTAGATCCGAGTCAAAATTAATTATTCGTTCTACCGATTCAAATAAAGCAATGATAATAAAAAAAAAAAATTATAAAAATAAAGGCTCATTGATATTAGATATTATTAAGTAAATAAATTGTAGAACACCAAATAATTGCTATCATGGAGTTTGAGATTTTCGATATGGGTTTGTGCAATATTATACATCATAAGATATTGACAGGCAACACGATATTATTAAATCTGAAGATCGTTCTAAACGAATAAAATAATTCTCGCTAAATATTATTTATAATATATTAAACGAAACGACAATAATACTATAGACAAAACGTGAAACCAAAAATTTTAATTAATCGAAAATATTATACAGAATAATCCATTTAACGTAACACACTTTATCGTTTAACCATCTACTTTTCGTATAATAAGTGTCTTACGTCTTATCACCCTATATACCTCGTCGTAGGTGTACTCGTTTACATTTTAAATTAAAACTTAAATTATCGCATGTTAAAAGCGTGTTGATAATGACAAAAATAAAATATTAAGTAAGTTCATAATTAATATTATAGATATTTAGTCAATGTATTGTAGAACACCAAATTGCTATGAAGTTTGAGACTTTCGTTATGGGCTTGTGAATATTATATTATAGTGACAGGCACTATACTACTTTGAAGATCGTTCTACACGAGTAAAATAATACTCGCCAGATATTATTTAGGTACATAGTATAATATACAAAATATAATAATAACAACAAACGAGAAAAGTGAAAACAAAATATTTAAACGTAACCAAAAATATTAATTATTATATACCTATCCGTCTACGTATACCCGTTTACAATATTTTGTATGAAAACTTAAACTATTAAATATAATAATTATTATTAAGTTAAAAGTATGTTGGTTTTAAGAGTTTTCTACACCAGCGACTCACTCAACGTCTCACTCAAAGTCGGCGTGTCTTATTATTTTATATAATACTCATTACTTAAAAAAAAAACATTATAGAAGACGGATTACAGTATCCGTCGTATAAGGTTAAGGTAGAATATTATTATCATGTACAGTAATTTCATGATAGTATAATACTATAGGTAACAGTTTATAGTTTTATAATATTATTATATTTTGAAGTCGACGAAACAATATCGTTTGAAATCAAACGTGGATTAAACGTCTGACACGGTGACTATAAATTGTACATTGTAAAAATCGGTGTTCGTCAATTGCTCCGATTTGTCTAGACTATCTGAAATATATGGGTACATAATTGCACCGAATGGATTTATCACAAATTAAATAGATATGCATCGATTGCGTCAAAAAAATATTAAGACGAAAATATTCACTATAATATTTTCGGGTATTTCAATTGGATAGGTGTACAAAATGTGGAAATGTTAAAAGTTAGTTTAACTAAATTGTAAAAAAAAATACATACAAAATACATTTTGAAATTTGTTCACTACGATATGTCATGCTCTAGTGTAAAAGTCCTAAATTGTCTAAGTTAAAATAAATGATTGAGAATTAGTATTGAAAGAGATTAATCTAAACTCTAAAATACATCTTGAGGTGAATACATTCAAAGTGCATTATTAAATTATAACCTTTTATTTTTACCACAGTATCTTCCGACGCCATTCACATATACGTACTCGTAAAAAACCCATCATATAATATTATGTACAATGACCGCAGTCGGTGTCGTGGTTCCCAGAAAATGTTTGATTTAAGATATACAGCTATCTCTGCAGGTATAATGAACCTAGGTATATAATTGGTATCTGAGCGTTCTCAGCGGTGACACACACGACGGTTTAATGTCTAGCTAATCACTACTCAAAGTGAAACCCAAATTTTGATTTAAATACTGTAATAATAAATACATAATAAAATCCTTCTTGTGGTAAAAATTTATCGGTGATTTCGACTTACAATTATTATATTAAATTTCTTGTCAATTTTTAACCACACGAATAAATATTATATTATACTTGCTCGAAATCGTTTATTTTTCACCAACTGCTACGTGCATAGATATAGAATTTCGTATAGAAAAAACCCGATATAATATAATATAGAATGCGTTTGTAAGCTTGGGCAGTACCTAAGTAGGGTTTTTTTTTCAATCCTGCTAGTATAATATTATTGTTATTCTGCAGAGTGCAGACAGTAAAACGGTTTCAGTTATAGGAATATAATACGTATATTATGTAAACTCAGTACCGATCCTTTTTTTTACTGCCAAAACGATAATGTATAATACGGTATATTGCATCGTACCTATCTCTAATCGCCAAACCACTCGAAGTACTTAGGTAAACGTTACGCGTTTTATTTTAATTTTACCCCCCTCTCCCACCACCCACACACAACCGAAATATGTAGACAGTCTTTGATAGGGATTTTGTATATTATTCTGTTTTCAAACCTTCTGCACACCTACTGTAACTGATTATATATTTTAAAATAAGTGTTTATCAATTTTAAATTCTCTTGCAATGTAGAGATTACAATATTACCTGTAAACTATTATGTGCAATCATTTTTTCTAAAAACTTTTATCTTGAATCAGGCAATATCTTAGAAAATACAAAGAATTTATAGAAAAAAAATGAATTAACATATTACTTATATTAATATAGGTATGCACTATTTTAGTAACCAAATAAAAATATAATGAAATTTACTGATATATCATATAATATAGCAATCTGTTCACTTGAGAAAATAAAGTTTTCGTATAATCCCTCTATATCTCATGACTCAAAAATAAATAGCATAATAACATATGAAATATTAAAATATTACGAGGTGGACTGCGTCGGGTGGTCGCTCAGGCAATCCCCACCTGAGCCTGGAGAAAATTTGGGACCGCTTGAATAAATTTGGGTTTCATAACCTATAAATATTTTATTATTAAGCCAAAATTGAGCCAAATATTCTGTTTCCCAGGGCCAAATTTTGTACTCCCTGTTTGTCCCTGTAATTTTCTAGGTAAACGTGTTATTGCATGGTATACACATATAGATGTAATTTTAGTTAGGTAAGTGTTGTTAAATTTTTGGAATACTGCAGCATACAATCTCGGTGATGACGATCAAACGAAGTACCTCCTAATCATAGTTTTACATTGTTGTCAAATTAGTATAATATAATGCTTAGTAGACTGACCACTTGACGCATTTGGTGTAAAACAATTGACGAAGACGTCACGTGTTAATACTTAATATCATATTATTATTAATCAATGTGGTATAATTAGGTGAGTTCTCTGTCTTATAATAATACACACTAGTATTGGTACCAATTAATACTTATAACCACAAACGTAAAATGCATATAGGACAGTATCTAATTGAATTTCTAAAAGACGTCAAAGTACTGAACGATTTTTATCGTGCCTATCGTAACATTTAACAAATTCTATAAGTACTACAATTATGTCACGTGTCCAAAACCTTCATCATAATACATTAAACAATATTAATAGGAAATTTACATAAAAAATAAGCGACAGGTATACAGACGTCAGACGTACGGTGCACAGTATATAAAATTGTAGTGTTGGTGCTTACTCGGGTCGTGGCATTCCGTAAATGATAACTCGCGTACATTGACAATATGACGTCACATATTTGGAATAGCAGAGAGGCATTGAAGTAAAACTGACCGTAACCTGCGAAATACAATAAGTATAATAGTATAATAATAATAATAATAATAATAATATATATGCACAGTGCACACGCATTCAAACGCATTACTCGCCTATACGATATTTCAGTTAAGTTATTTTTTGACGCACGTAATATTAAATGAAAAAATTATTTACCTATAGCCATAGGTTTACTTATTATTATAGTCATGACGTAATATTTGCGTACACATCTCATCATATTATACATAAATATACGTCAATTATTAGTAATATATTATTATTTATTATGGCCTGGCAACTGTCTAGAGCCCGACTGGGCATGGCCGAAACCTACGGGTGCCCAACTTGAAATTCTGCCAAAACCAAAAGCACACGTGTTTACCAAACTTACATTAGCCACAGTTGAAAAACAACCCAATGGCCTAGGTTTCCGCGGGTTAATCAATAAAGAAAAAAAACAGAGTGTTTATATTGGTGACTTAAATAATTATAGTTTAAGAAATTCACCTACATAGTATATTGTGTATACCTAATATAGTACCTATATGGCTAAATGTATGTCTGTGCTATGTGTATGCTATGTATTATTTAATATTTTCTTACCAATTTTTATTGTATGATATACAAAATTAAACTATGATTTAATAAGCTCAAGCAGTATTACAGGGATTATAAACAGTTAAATACTTCAACATGTCACTATACATAGTACATGTATTATGTATATAATAATAAAAGACACATGAAATAAACGTATTATATAATGAATATGAATATAATAATTATAAACTCTATTTTTAGCACAGACAGAAATATATAAAGTATAATTAAGATAAACTAATAAGTAATAACATATTTTATACACTGTATAGCTACAACACTCCCTGTAAGCTCAGATTGTGTTGGGAGAGTAAAGTTTTAAACAGAATCGTAATTTATGCTAAAATCATACAAAAATTACCTATAATGTAAAATGTATATATTGCATGTATATCAGGGGTGGCTTCAGAGACATGGTTAGGGGAGGGGGGATTAGAGGAAATCAAAATTTTCAGAATAAAAATGATTTTTTTTTTTGTAATTTCGTATTTAACAGCATAAAATTGCTTAGAAATATAGCTTGGGGGGGAGGGCACGGATAAATAAAACAACCACTCATAATAATTAAATCCATCTATAGCATCGCATAAAGCACGACGAGGCGCACGACATTGTATTAATAATTGAATAATTCTTTTAATTATCGTGTGGTAGGTCGTATATAAATACATCGGTGTGATAAGTGATAATAACGTTGAACAATCAAGTGAATGATTTTTTTCAACACACTTCCATTTAAATAACTGATTAATATATAAATCGTCGTTCCTCCAATAATGAGATTTTACTATTTTCCTTCAATAACGGATTAAGAATACAATACCTAAATATATTCATTTTAAGTTTTATTATTTTAACAAAAAAAAAAAAACCAATTTTCTTTGAATTATTATCAATTAGGTACCTAAAAATGAAATAAAATATCTAAGTTCTAAAGTACCTATACGTACCTATCTTATTTTGGATTGATCAAAGTTCCGATGTTACGATGTAATCGACCGTTATAAATTATCCCTTTATAATATTATGCAGGCACATACAACAGTGTTGTCGGCTAAAATGTCAACTAAATATTTTAATATTTGGAGGCAAAATAGAAATAATTAAGTCCAAAAAATTTTTGAAGGAAAATTAAATCAGAACTTTTTTGGTGGAGGAAAACAGTTTCTCATATTTGAAGTCCATTTGACCCTCCCGCGACAACATAATAATGCAGTTTACCGAACGTGAATGTTATCGGTCCGGTGAAACGATAACTTAATTTGTTAAAAGTAGTTAAAACACTAATGTTTGTGTCCAAAACACATTTCCGGAAATCTTTCGGATGCTGAGCAAAACGTTTCAAACAATAACCGACGACAATAATAATATGATATTTATATAATATCAATAATATGTTATGATATTGTATGACTAGTCGGATATACCTGAGTATATGTTTAACTGCATTAATGGACGTGACGATTTTCAATTATTACTCACCGATCCATCGATCATTGGACATCTTGCCGCCCTTTTCGACGTACCATTCTAATAAGCAGCTGTTGACTAACAGTATAATTGAAAACAATTGAAACCACTAAAATAAAAACCAACACACAAAGCATGAGTAGTATACCAGTCCACTGCAGGGCCGAAATAAGTGTTAGAGCCGCTCCAGAGCTATATTATAAAGAACAATCTTCACTCCCAAGAAATGTATTTTTACTCTTAAAGCTACAATATTATTATAATTTTTAAGTAAAATGTATTTTATTATTGGTGTACAATGAATTTATAGTGTACATTGTTTGTAACAGACAACAAAACAACATTTTAATTAAAATTGTCTTATTTAATTTTTATTAACACTGAGCAGATAACTATCTGAATTAACATAAATTAGGATTCATATAACTACAAACAAAAAACTTGAGGAGTTAATAAATTATGTAATATTAAAGTTTTATCACGAGTAAAATAAAAATATAGGTAGGTATAACGTACATATGAAGATGGCCCCCCGACTTTGTGCAAACATTTTCAAAATTATTGCAAACAATTGTAAATAATTGTAAATTTTACATTTGCGAATTTGTAAATCAGCAGAAAACTTAAAAATTTGGCTCCCCGACTTTTGTTTTTTGATTTTTAAGTTTTCTGCTGATTTACAAATTATTATTTACAATTATTGTTTGCAATAATTTTGAAAATGTTTGCACAAAGTCGGTAGGCCATCTTCGTGTACGTGGTAGATGAATTCTATACATTAAAAATGAAAATAAGGTATTATTATATAAATATCACAATAATTCATGTACAATAATATTTTTTTTTCTTATTCCTATATTAATATTATATGTCATATGATATATTTAATACTGTACAGTATTGAGTATGTTAATACCTACTGAGTTATAATTATTATAATAATAATATCATTTAACATTAACGTGTAGCAATTAAACGTAAGAATACAAGTTTTAAACAATACTAATTTATATTACAAATTCAACTAATAAATAATGATGATAATAATATGTTATCAAAAAACCAAAAAAAAATACAATATATATACTGTCTTAGAAAAAATAAAATGATTACTTACCTAAATAATGTCTATTATCTTGTTTAATACAATTCATACTAGGTATATAGTAATATTATATAGTATTATTATTATTTCTTTAAAATGGCTCTTTTAATTTTTCAAAATTTTAATAAAATAAATATAATAATATGTATTATATTAAAAAATTAATGCCCCTATATTTACTTACTGCAATACAAAAAACGTCAACCAATATTGACTCTTCCCTATACAAATATGCCGCTCCTAAATTAATAGCTTGCTGCAGCTGATGGGTGCAAATAATAATATTTAGTAATTTTGCGCCTGAATATTATCTATTGCGTGAATCCGGTCCTGCGATCTGAGGTGATTGCTCAGCGTCGTAACCTGGTTACTGTTTACCTGGTTGGCTGATTTACCCAAACAATATTATAATAATATTATACTCACCAACTGCAAAGCCGTAAACCCGTACAAGGTTTTGCGAGGATCCGGGTTCGTTACTCTAAACGACGAGATTCCGAACGCGGGAAAGTCCGACCATTGTTTTTTGAAATATTTTAAATTGACAATCATTTGTACGATTATCTTGTAATGGGACTCTCGCGGTTTTCGTCGGAAGCGTTCGTTGCGGAGGACGTGCTCGCGATCAGCACGGCGTCACGTAAAATGACTGCAGCGACTGCGAAGTAACGATATAAATTAATATTTAATATGATATTAATTTATGTTTATTTTATCTCATTATTATTAAATTATATTATGATTATGGGCGAGAGTTGCGCGCGGACGAAATCGAAATAATATATATTATTATCTGCAGACTGAAATATGCGCTTAAACCGTCGTCGATTGCTGCGTCTGTATACGCACGTACTGTGTAAGGTTTGTCATAGATAATACTGCTGCAATATAATATTATTATAAATTGCCTGATATGGGAAAAAAAGAGAGAAATATGAAAAAAAATTAGTAACGAATGAAGAAATTTGAGGAGCACGTTAGGTAGGAACCAATGTCCTTATATGTTTATATACGGGGTGATCCGTTTAACGCTTAAGACACTATTATAGGTGTCACTACTTCAGAAAACTAGCAAACGTTCTCGAAAATATTTCTTTTATATAATTTTAAGTCCTAACAGAAGAACGTAAACAAAACAACTATGTTTTAAGTTTTTTTGCTCTTTCGAACGACTACATTTTTAATATCATATATCTACAAAAAACTAACTTCAGACGAGTAGTTCATTAGCATCTTATAATAATTTAAAATTCACACGAGTGGAGGACTAATAATTTACTAATAATAGGTTATTATTCGTGACCCAGCGTATCTACTACAACTCCAAACCGGCCATCAAACTTTAAATACCTACCTACTCATAAACTATACTTTTCCAACATTCGATTGAAGTACTCCAGAAATATTCTGCTTTGGAATAAAAAGGATTAAAAATACACAGTTTCTTAAAAAATTATGACGGTAAAAATTTTATATTTTTTTAGAAAAATTTTGGATTTAACGACTCAAAAGTACATAACAAAAAAATTAATAGCTTTTGAAAAAACATGAGTGTCTTGCATTAAATCAATCACCCGGTATACGTACAGGGTGCTTACGTGATGGTTCTTATACCGTGTGAATTTTTATACACACCATTTCGGTGAGCGAATATAGCGAATATAGCGATTATATATTATATTATATTATACTTATTTTGTTGATGTTCCACTGGTAGGCTTCTTCACTCTGTTTTCTATGTAATTATTTTATTTTATTTTATTTAATCAAATAAGCTTATTGTTCAAACTATTGTACATTTGTAACAGATAGTCTAGTACCTAAAACATTTTGAGAGAAAAATTATATACTTATTTTAATCACGCCATAAAGTAATAAATTATTATGTAAATATAATATATTACGTGTTGAATAATCCACAGGTCTCGTTTTTCCACAGACATATCAACTCACTGAGGGTGTTTGGTGTTTGGTGTAGTTGCAGTGGCGCATACTGGAGGGTTCAAGGGTACAGTTGCTACCCCTGATTTTTTTGGTAGGTGGGTGGGTGGACCCCATGGCTTCAAAATATTTCCATCATAAAAATTCTACTACTTATAAAAATATTGAAAATAAACTATTCAATAATCATAGGCTATTGCCATTAGTCTATTAGACAATATAGAGATAACCGAATCAATTTGCTACCCCTATTACATTTAAAAATACAGTCTACGATGTAAGTAAAAAAAAAAAAAAGGAAGATCTAACGTCTAACGTCCTTTGGATGACTATATTATATGGATATAAAAACCATTTAATTGTTTTAAATTAAATATTTGAGTGTCATCATATTTATTGTCTTAATCATATTTACCGTGGTAAGTGCATTTATAATATAAATAGATTTCGAATGTATGATATATGAAGAGAGAGACATCTGTAGTTGGTTGTTGTCAAATATTATACCACGGCATGATGAATGTCGATGATCATCAAAAAAAAATAAAAACAAAAATGTTATGTATGTTTATTTATTTCGTTTTCTCGTAGTTTTCATTTTTTGTGTTATTTGTATTTCTCTAGAATATCTCACGAATTCATGATAAATTAATTATCAAACCGTCAGCCAAAAATAATAAATAATCCATAATATTATTACCTATCTAATGTTTACGTCATTTCAACAACACTTCTTGTTAATAATATTATTATGATGCGTAATAAATGGTAAATGGTAAAACTGTACAATTATTATAGTACTATTATAATATGATACATATTTGGAAGTTGGTGTCTAATTTGTTTTTTCACTTCATAGATTAGTATTTATAATTGTGTTAGATTCTGATTGGAATAGGAATTATTATGAAATGTATGAGTAATTTTATTCGGAAAGCAAATTTTGAAGCAGTGAAGTGATTATAGCAGTTATTATAATTTATAACTACCTATTGTAACTGCAGATTGATATTCTCTCTATAATTTATTGAAAATCGAACAAAAATATGCAACTGGTATTTTGTAAAATTTTCTAATGAGGTACTTAATTAAAAAATAATATTTATAAGGGAAGTGGGTAATTACCTAATTGTATTAATTTGACATATATATATTTTTGTAACTAATATAGGTATATATTATTATATTGGCAGGTAGGTACTTGTTAAATTAATGATTTGTGTATAATAAATTATTTTAGAAATTTAATAGTAGGTATTTTCATTAAATTATTAAATATTGAAATATAGTATATGAATAATCATAATTAACTTTTAACGTTTTCATTTCTCACTGAGATTATTTTTTATTACATAAAATATCAACTATAATTTGTTTATAAATGCATTCAGGATGTTGAAAAAATGTTATGCTAATGGCTGCATTGTATATATCAGACTATTTAAAATGGTGAGTACTTTTACGATGGTGAAAATTTCAATATTTATTCAATTTTATTATTTTTCTAAAAACGATTCTCAACTTGCAATCATATTTTAAATTTTTTGTTTATTCAATGTTGAATAATCTGGCCAGGATAAAAAATATGTATTAATTAAAATAAAATAACGGAGGTTAAATTGTTGGTAATAAGCAAAATAATAAATTATATTGAACGTCGAATAATCATTAATGTTCTACATTTATCTCAATTTAAAAATGAAAACAAATTAATTAGAATTTTAAAAAATGCAGACAAGACCAATATAATATTATGCAAAACTATTTCGATGATCCAATAACTGATATTAATAATTAACACATATAATATTATAATTACTCGAGCGTTAAAGTCCATAAAAATAATTATTAATCGTATAAACCAGCCACTGGAGACCGTGTCCGTGGACGGATATCGAAACAGAATTTACAAATACCTTGATAGACGGTGTTATATTATTGTAATTGAGTGTACTAATTTCAAAATTCAAAATAACAATTTTATATTATAATATACATAATATTTGATCAATTTATATTTTGTTTGTATTGCTTAGCTCTTACAATAAACCGCTAAGCACCGCAGTTGACAATGATTAATGATTTGAAATTAAATATAAATGCGTATGTACATTATTGTATATTTTATACTATCGATCATCAGCAGCAGCATTTATAGCAACAAAGAAGGACCCGGGTTTCAAAATTTATTTAAAGAGTTCCTAATTGTATTCTATATATAAGTCACTCGCCGATATATTTATTTAATTTTTTATGACACGAAGTTTAAGTTTCAATATAAGTCATTTACAAGACCATTCATGATTATCTGCTGTATAAGGAGTAATTTTAATTTTTCCTTAATGTCCCCGCAAAGTTTATCATTCAATGAAATATAATATTGACCCTTTTAAATCGTATGTCGGATCTCTGATTTTTAAACTTCAAAAATAATAATATTACCTAGGTAAAACTATTATAATGTAAAAGTATGGATCTGGACCCCAAAATGTCTTCAATATATCTTATTTTTAACCAAACATCAAAACCTAAATTCAATAAAATTACAATATACATGTTTTGGAACCCCCCCCCCCTCGAAAAATTTCTGGATACAGCCTTGCATATCAATATTCCACTACACTGTACGCTGTAGTGTACGGTGTAACTGGTGTAAGTGTCGTACCTACCCAGTACCTAACTCATGCACCCATGTACTCGGTAAAACCTTGCCCTATATAGGTGTTGTCAAACGACCATGTTATTATCTGTTATATTCAATGTTTTTTAACTGTACAAATTTAAATATTATGAAAAATATTATTTCGTATTTTGTATTTAATACCTAGATATACTCATATTATACATAATATGATATCCTTAAGAGTTAAGAGGACGTGTGTTGTCTCCGTTTTAGTTTTACAAACCTAAAATGTATCAAAGTTGAGTTTCGCAGAAACAATTTTTTGTTGTTAGCTTAAATGCAGAGGGAATCGACCTATTATCACACTTAAAGGAACATTATCAGTATTTAATCGTTGATTTTTTAAGATATTTTAATTTTTAAGTGAGTTAAGATTATGTGAAAAATATATAAATGCTTTTAACTCGCTTAAAAATTAAAATAACGTAAAAGTCCAAAGAGAGTTGTACACAGATTATGTTCTTGCATTTAAATTTGATCACATGTCTATTCACTCAGGTATTAAAGTTGACAGTAAAAAATTGGTTCCACCAAACGCAAAATGTACTTACTATATCGTACGTTTATATAACGCGAGACGACGACACAATATGCATGGCTGTGGCGTCCTCTTATAATTAATGTCCAAATTATAAAAACAATAGGTACATTCAAATTGTATAATATATCCATGGTTTAAGATGTCCTGGTAATATTGGTAATGAAAAAAAATACTACACTATATGTATATAACCCTAAATAAACTACATATTATATTGTGTAGTATTATTACTTTTGAACTCTTCAAGTGTGATGTGTGTGTTGTAATAATAATAATACTATTTGTGTGCAGAGGTGGATTTAACAATTTTCAGCTTCTAAGTGGTTTACTAAAACAAAATCGCTTCTGAAAGATAGAATATAAAAATATTTTGCATTTACTTAATAA